TAAATTAAACCAAAGTCGAAAACACTGTAATCGTTATGGAATACAGTCTCCTTCTGTGCGCAAATATACACTATTATAAGAACCATAAATTGTGACAGAACCACTGCTAGATCTATAGCACCATGTAATAATATTTATCTCAAAGACACCGTCGACAGCACATAGCACTTTACAATCTCAACCCCAAATTTGATCTCAAAATCCTTTACAACCGCATCACATACAGACATATATCCACTAAATCTCCAGCAACCTCCAACCTGACATACAAACCACAGACGTGGTTTATTAAGCCACGCGTCAGATGACGGAGACGGCTTTTAGCGTGATTGGCTAGTCCTATTGTCTTTATCAATGGCCGAGAGACATGAAAACTGAAGCTCCTGTGCCACGATGAGGGATTGAAAGCGACTGCTGCTTTATAGGGGATCCTGGGAGGTTTTGAAAAGGAAAGTTTGTTAATCAGAGGGGTGATCGCACAATGGGTGAGCTACGCTACTGGATGATTGAACCAGTATTCATTCCTGCGGCTTCCTATTGAATTACAGAAAAACAAAAACAAACTTAATTCTACGCCAAAAAGATATTTACTAGATCAGATTTTCAATTAAGTATAAACTTTAGTCAAACTAGTCAACTTACATTTTCTTATATTACAATTTACCAATCCGCATTTACAGAATACCAATAGGTTTCCTACAATATTGAGCTTCCCAAACTACCATAACATGTTTTGTCACATAAAATATTCGTCTACAAAACTTGGCAGACATTTTTACGCATAAAAATTCGAGATAACGACGCGTGCGGAACGTCCCGAAGGATATGACTGCAGACTACATCAAAATTCTGTTTTTACTATAATCCACTCAAGGCTGTATACGTGTATTTCCGTGCCGACGAATTTGTTTTTGCAACAGAGCGTGCTCTATGAACTGTCAAAATACGCGGGAATATTTATCCTTGTTTTTTTTTTAATAAAGAAACGAGGTCCTGACTCAGGTGAAATTTTATCAACGTCTTGTTTAGAAAAATATACACAAAATACCTACTTATATTAATTTTGGATCGTGAAAAAGAGCACTAGACCATAGCTTGCCCGTAAAGAAAATCTAAAATATGAATATAATGAGTTCAAAAATGCGTTAACTTGTTACAAAGGTACTTTAGTTCCTAAGATAAGTACGAAAGCTTTTTAGATAAGCTGACGCAAGGAGTTTCTAGACTCACTATAATCTTCTTGATGGCAATTTAGTGATTAAACAATAGAATATTTAAATTGTCGACAATAGTAAATTAATGAAAAATCGTAAAAAAAAGGAAAGTAGACGTGAAACTCGAAAAATATTTTCAATGATAATAGTGTTTTGCTGACAGAGAGGTTATCGTAAACTCAATTCACAGTCGACTAATTCTAATGAAAATTTATGGAGACCGCCATTATTGGATGGCTCCCCCAAAATTTTGATGACACTTAACTTTATGAAGCGCTTTAAAAATGTTTTTGTTCTTATAAAGGACTTTGAATTGACAAAGATGGAATAAAATTTATAGCTAGGTGAAATACTACATGGCATCTTACTTACAGCTTTTGCTTCGAACATGGTCACTTGTATTGTCATATACTTACATGCGGTGATTTCTAGCCTAGAAGATATAAAGAATGAAAGAAATGGAAGCCTATCAGATTGTTAATAATTTCACCTAAAACCAAACATAGTAACAAAAAAATTATTCTCTTTTAACGCAGGTCCTTAAGATTATGCTCGATACGGTGTCTAATCGAATTTCAACATATCTCACACAATTTTAGAGTGAACCAGCACTAAACAAATCCATAAACCATTCATAAAATCTCCGAGAAATCTCAGCCATAAATTATTCCCACCTCTTTCTTCACACCTTGAAACTAAAAAAACCAAATCGGGCATCATTATTGAGTCAGGTCAGTAACTCAAAAGGCCTGGTAACTGTCATTTGCCACTAGGAATAACGCGCGCTTTCCTGTGCCTGCTACCGGCCTATATTTAGACGACTAATTACACTAGTCAACAAAAAAACAATTTTTGCATGTAACATGAGAACTTTTGTCTAGTTATGTTTAGGACAAGGATAAGGATACTAGAAATAAAATTAAAATGCTTCAAATACGAATAGTTTTTTTGTAATACCATTTTATAACATTTTAGAAATTTTGAATTTTTATAAACAAAAAGAAGTTATTTCGATTGATTGCTACATTAATATGAATTTACTTTTATGATTTTCGTCTGTATTTTGCTTCAGGAACGTCTCGTTTTAATGTCCAACAGTAATCCGCTAACATACGTGGGCTCCACTTGCCCTGATATCGTTTTTCTATGGTAGAAATGTCTTGATGGAATCTTTCACCGTGTTCATCGCTGACGGCGCCCAAATTTTCAGGAAAGAACTCTAAATGTGAATAGAGAAAATGTATTTTCAATGACATATTACAGCCCAAAGCCTTATAAGTAGATAAAAGCTCCGTGATAATACATTTATAGTCACTTGATCGGTGATTTCCTAGAAAATTAGAAGTTACTTTCATGAAAGATTCCCAGGCTGATTTTTCTAAATTACTAAGCTTTTCTTTAAATATATCATCTTTCATCAATTGCCTGATTTGGGGCCAATAAATATGCCCTCTTTAATTTTTGCTTCACTCAGCTTAGGAAATTTTTCTTTTAAATATAAGAAGCCGCCACCACTCTTATCCATAGCTTTTACGAAGTTCTTCATAAGCCCAATCTTTATGTGTAAAGGTGATAAAAATACGTTCTCAGGCTGCACCAATGGAGGGTTTTTAATATTTTTTTGTCCTGGAGTAAGAGATTGCCTTTTGGGCCAGTCTTGCTGAACATAATGATTTTTTCGGTCTCTGCTATCCCACTCACAAATAAAACAACAGTATTTTGTATAACCAAGTTGTAATCCTAAAATTAGGGCAATCACCTTCAAATCTCCACAAATTTTCCAGTTGTGTTCGTTATACTGAATTTTTTCCAATATAAATTTAATTGTTTCATAAGACTCTTTCATATTAGAAGCCTCACCTACTGGGATAGAGGAAAGTTTATTGCCGATATGTAAAAGAACAGCCTTTAGACTTACTTTTGAGCCATCAATAAATAAACGCCACTCTTCTGCTTTATATTCTATACCCAAGACAGTCATTACACCATGGACATTATTACAAAATACAAGCTGATCATCTTGTGAAAAAAAACCTTTTAGCTCTTCATCTCGATTGCGAAAGTAACATACTTTTGTTTTAGGTTGTAATAAATTCCATCCCTTTAATCGAGAGCCCAAAAGTTCTGCTTGTTGTTTGGACAAATTTAAGTCGCGTACCAAGTCATTGAGATCACCTTGTGATAGAAGATGTGGCTCATTAGATGAGGATGAAGAAGCTTCTTGAAAGTCAGGATCCAATGTCTCTTTTTCGACTTCTGGCGTAAGGGACAGATCGCTAGGTTGAGGTGGCTCTGGTACCGGTAGATCTTCACTATGAGGGATCGGTCTTTTAGCTGATGGCAGGTCAGGATACTTGATTTTACTTTTTGTTTTAATTGTAATACCTTTTGTACCAGTAAGACAAAAATAACAATCAGATGAGTGGTTCGTTGGTTCCGTCCAAATCATAGGGATTGCAAAAGGCATAGATCGAGATCTTTTCGCCCATCCAGTGAGAAGACCCACACATGTAACACAACAGATGTGTGGAACCCAGGCTTTGTCTTGTTGTCCGATGGCAAAACCAAAATACTGTTCATATAACTTAGTTACTAATGGTGTCAAATTCCTTCACTGAGTTTTGAAAGTAATGTCACCACAAATGTAACAAAACTTGTCAGGATCATTTTTACACTTTCTAGACATTATTTAAGAATCACTTTACTCTAAAAACAGAACAAACCACTACGCTCTTCAAATAAACAAATTCTCTGAATGCGAAAGTAAAACAAAAAAAGGTTAATTTTTAATTTTGTGGGTAGTAGCTGTAACACGAAAACTAGATGTGATGGAATCAAAATAAATATGGTTATTAAATGAGGGTAGGTAGGTACTTTAAAATTAGCCAGCACCTTTCTTGTTACAAAATTTTGTTGACTAGTGTTATTAACAAGGTGCGTTTAGTTTATGGTAAACTGTGGTGAGATGTGTGGCCCTGGCATTAAGCTGTGTATACAATGGACAACGTTTCAATGTAAATATTTGTTATACAATCAGAGATTTTTCTCCTTGGTGTTCTACTTGCATAATAAGTTTTATCTGTTACTTTGCGGAATAAATAGGCAGAGGAGCACAAATAAAATGTTCCAAATGCAAATCTTTTGTCAATAATCAAAATACCTCCAACAAGCAACAACTTTACCTAATCAATTATAAAACTTCGTCCAATTTGACAGAATTCCCCTCAATACAACTGGTTGTACATGAATGTACTACCTACCTAAATAATATAAATTATCTGTGTATAAAGTATTTAGTATGCAGCTGGCATCCCCCGAGGTTGGTCGCACGTGAGGAGAATGTTCAAATATTATATTAATTTCCTATCGAAGTATTAGATAAGTCAAATGGAATTTATCGGATTTGAGTTTTTTGGGCTCTAGCTGGCGCTAAATCGGAAATTCGGAATTTCATTATAGCCTTATTATATTTTGTTCACCAATTGTTAAACTATGATGGTGTGGCGTGCCACTACTATATTTAATTGTGACTTATGATTTGCGTTTTACTATCTACGTACTTGCGAGACACATGTTAATCATGTCATGTGAACGAGGACGAGGAAACGATTGGGCAGGCATTCAAACTAAAATAGTAACCAAATGATATCTATTAGACTGTAATTAAGTAAACGAATTAGAATCAAGTTCGTAAATAACATTCATCGTCCCGCAAGAATCTCATAATTCTTGAAACAAATGTTTTTCGTCCATCATGGATTCATAATTACCATTTTCTGTTCACAGCGCCGTCTCACTCAGAAGTACAGCATCGCAGTGGGAGTCCCGACCCTGGTGATCCGTGGCCGCCACGTGAGGGATGCTCTGCTGGATGATACACTGGGGGAGAAGTTCCCCTGGCCCCCTCCACCACTCACGGAAGTCTTAAGAGGAGTGGAGCTCCAGGGAGACGGGGAGAGTCGCCTCTATGAACAGCTACCTGCTGATGCTGTCAGGGTTTTCTATTTTGCGGCGCATTGGGTGAGTAGGAGTTTTAATAAAGATAACTTTTAAGAAGTTTTTTTACGGAATAGGAGGCAAAAGAGCGGACGGATCACTTGATGGAAAGCGATTAGCACCGCCCATGAACACATGATCGTCAATACATGAACATCCAATGTCCATAACGGATTTCGTAACTTTTTGGACAGTTTCTAGATTTTTCTTTTTTGATAGGTAACCACGGCATTTTTTTATATATATAAGTACGTGTGGCGACACATGGTACATGTCAACCGATGACGTCGCAAAAATTCTACATCGGCAGAAAGCCCGCCAGCCACAATCACCTCGCCTGGTCGGAGGATCCTCCTTTTCCGATCTTAGGGAACTATACTCTATGTTCCCTAAATACGTATGTTTTTCACTGTGCGTTTCAAAATCGCCTTATCGTCCACTGTCCATTAAATCTCTCGCATTGCCCAACAGTGTCCACCATGCCGGTCGTTCTCCCCGAGCCTGTGCGCGGCTCTGGCAGCAGTACGCAAGCGACGTACAAAGTACGCCAACACGCAACTCATACTCGTCTCCAGTGACAGGTATGATACTTATAAAACTGTAATATTATATGAAGTATTTTATAAGAAAGTTAATCTTCATGTTAACAATAGACACGACGTCAAAGTATTATCCAATTTAGTTCAGTCGGCCAAGTTGTGTGAGCAAAAGATACATATTATGGAGATTCATTTTTATTAACTCGTCTGTCTGTCTATGTATGCTTAGATCTTTAAAACCACGCAACGGATTTTGATGCGGTTTTTTTTAATTGATAGAGTGATTCTTAAGGAAGGTTTATGTGTATAAAACATGCATATTGCACCCGTGCGAAGCCGGGGCGGGTCGCTAGTATCTAATATTTCCAGACAAGACTTTTAAATAGGTAACTAACACAGGAACAACTACTTATAAGAAAACAGTTGAAATTAGAACTTAAACCTTTTATTTCCTGCACTCCTATTTTCCTCCTTCTATTCCACCTACGGCGCCAAAATACAATTTTTGCAATTCTTCTTGAACAAATTGTTCGAAAGATTATTCCGTGTCATTGAATTTTATTGTTCTACAAAATTACTTCGGAGTTCGGGCAGAGCGTGTTCATTTGGCTTTATTTATTATTCTCTGCTTCGTGTTCAAGTGCGATCACAAAACAAATATGGCGGTGTGTTCCTTCAATTTAGAGCTCCTAATGAGTCTATTTGAGTTAGTCCTCAATTGTTTGATGCCATTTATATCCCTTTGTTCATATCTTTGAGATTAATAGAGATAGTTATGAAGAATTAACTAAGTAGTGACGAAAATGTATTTTGATGCTATTTACGTCCCCATGAATTTTGTAGTTTTTTTTTTATTTTAAAAGCAACGCGTTCATTCTTCATTTAAAATCACTGTCATTTATAGCATTTTTGCATATACCTAACCAATCATGATTACCCGACTATTTTTAATTTTATTTCCAACACACCTTTACCACTTTACACTATGAATCCATTTCCAAGAAACGTGTAATGTCAAAAGTGAAAATTCATGCCAATTAAAATAATTAATTAACCAGCTAATATCACTACCTACCTAATAACGGTAAAATGTTCATAAAAAATATTTTCATAAATGGAATTCGTGCGTCATTGTCGATGGAAAAAAAAGTAAGTAAGTAATACAGTTGGCGCGTTCCATGTTTTCCTTACTTTTTTTTCTTTTTTTTTCTTTTACTCGGAAAGCGACGACTTCCTTTGATGCCAATCGGAATATTTTAATTAAATTATGGGAATCTCTCTCCCATTTGTGTCGTTATATTGAGTAGCGAATTAATTTTAATAATAAAATGTTCTCAGAATTATATTTCTCATCAGGAAATTAATCTATTAATGTAATGAGCGGTGGGCAGAAATACCTTATGGAAATGGAAATATATGGAAAATTCTAGGACAAACCGTTTAAAAAAAGTGGTATTTGGTTAGTGGTAATATAAAATAGTGTCATTCACACAAATCTGATAGACATCAAAAAATAAAAAGGAAAAACACTACTATAAAAAGTCCCCTTATATAAATAGTGGACAAAGAAAAAATTATCCACCAGAAAACTATTAAAATTATAAAAAAAACCTTTATTAATATAAGTTCCCCGTTATCCTAGCAAGTTTAATCTTCATATTATATGCTTAATCCAGTTCTATTTGCGTTCTTTCCACCTCCCGAGAGAACATACAAACATGTTGGTGTTATTTACTGAAATAAGATAGTTTGCATGCTGAATAATAAACGGAGTCTCGTCCCGGCTGCTCTCGACTTAGGATCCAGGGCTGCTAGTGCCCACATTCTATCAGATTAATCTAGGAACTCCGTATAAGCTTACGGTGCATGATATTCAGAGACAATGAGATTTTTAAGGCTAGCAAATCCTGCAAAATATGCGTAAAAGGTTCAATTTTCATTATCAATCATAACCTGTGACCGTCTACCGTTGGACATTGTAGACTTCGTCTAAATTAAAAGAGTTTGCCAAAATCTCCACAGCTCCCAGGTGGTTTTAAAATATCCGGAGAATGCTATAAAATCCGTTGAAATTAAATCAATGAGTAAATATAATAAAGTGATCGACATCCAATCATTAGTTATTTTATATATCTCTGTGTGAAGTCAATATCTCTATATCTCAAGTTTCTTTTTTTCTTCTTCCTATCCTTGTACCGATACATACCTTTATCATACCATATCTTTGATACCGACTATAGGTAACCATCAACAATCGTACAATAGACACATTTGTATTCTTTCATCCGCCCCTGTATCGCCCCTCATCTTTGATTTACTGCCTACCTTCACGATCATATCACCTTCCACGCATCCATCTTCCGAAACAAATTCATCATTTGCTTTGTTATAAGAATTTCCTCAAAAATGTTTATTACACAATATACACAAATATTTTCGCAAAATGGCCGCGGGACAAGATGGCAGCCCTCGGTCGGTGCACCAATCATAGGTAGGGACAGTGTCGTTACTTCCAATTGAATCCGTTCGCTCCATCGATCGATACTTTTTTAACACGAAACTTCTCCAACACTTTTACAAATTGATAACTTAAACAATACCTGTGTAAGGCTAAGTTTTATGACTTTTTGTTCGTAAGAAAACGTGGATGGAGAATTTATTACAGGTCGTGTTTAAAAATTCTTTCTTGTAATTAAGAGTACCTAATGTATGACTGGTTGGTGCAATTAATTGACTAATTACTAATGAACCTTTTACTGACTCCGGTTACCAGTATCTACATTACAAGGAACGTTTGAATAATAGTTTCAAATAGCAATTCGCATGCACCATAAAAGATGATACCTGTTATCGTAATGATATAATTATAAGAAAAAGCTAATGGTAAACCATTGTGGTCTGCCATCTAGACTATACTACTAGACTCAACGACAGTCTATAAGTGTCCATTGCTGGGCAACGGTCTCTTCTCAAACGGAGAAGATTTGAGCAATAGCCACAACGCTTACTAATTGGCAATTATTGAGAAATGCGAATAAAACACGGAATTCCTAAATTGTTGCATAGCAATCGAAATTCGTGTAATGGACAATCCTTGGAAAGGCAGCCATTAATCGTTCCACATAGAACGAAATAGTTAATACTTCAGTAGAAAGTTCAAGGCTTAAGTAATTAAAATTCAGGTCGCTTCGGACGACAGGCTATTCTCAATTGTTCACAGACCCTCACCTGAGTTTTAAATCATTTGGTTTTATGCTCTTTTGGGCCCGAAAGTTGAATTAATTAGAAGGAATATTCATTATTTTAAATTGTTTCATCGCTTTTATGCAAATGACGGATTTGTTGAATTCCAAGTTGTGGGCGGAAGCGCTTGACCGGTGTCCGATGCCCATAGACCCATAATATTTCGGGGCACACCACAATACAGATTTAGGTACAGTTTTCTTCTTATCTATCTAACCCTATGGTCTTATTTGCAGACGATAGCACCTCAATTGTTTCATGTACGAATAAAGACTTATATGTTGCAGATATCAATAATTCAATCAATAGTTTAATAAAGTGGCTTGACAACAATAACTTAGTAATTAATTTAGACAAAACTAAAATCATGCATTTTCACCAACGGACACCTACAGTAGACATGGATATCAATTATAATGGCCAAATAATAGAAAAAGTGAAAAGTGCAAAATTCCTAGGAATTTTAATTGATAGCCAGTTAACTTGGAAACCGCAAGCAGAAGATATATGTAAACGATTAAGTACAGCCGCGTTTATGTTACACAACCTATCAAAAAAAGTCGATCTACCAACAGTGCTATTAGCCTATCATGGTCTTGTAGTATCCATTCTAAGATTTGGGGTATTATTTTGGGGAAATTGTAGTGAACGGGAAAGCATTTTTAAAGCCCAGAAACGATGTTTGAGAGCAATGTTTAGCCTTAAAGTAACTGACAGCTGCGTACCTATATTTAAGTCTCAGAAATTAATAACTTTTCCATGCCTATATATCCTAGAACTAGCAATGTATGTAATAACAAACCGATGTTTATTTACACCAGTATCTGCAACCAGAAAGCGTAGTACAGCTTTTAGATCGCAATATCAGAACCTATTATCCACAGGTGTATTCAAAACTAGCCTATTAAAAAAAAGTGTAATCTGTATGGCCCCTACTATTTACAACAAAATTCCTGACCAAATTAAAAACTTACCTGTTCTGAAATTTAAAAAATGTTTTACAGAATTACTTGTCGAGAAATGTTATTACTCTGTGCAGGATTTCCTAAATGATACACCATAAATTATTTTTTTTTTTCAACCTAATTGTAAGAATTAATTTGCATGCCAACAAGGCCGAATGTATAAGGTTCCGTGACAACATATTGTACCATCTTATTCTTATGTACCTACATTCTAGCAAATAAAGATATATTATATTATATTATCTAGAAAAGATGTGTAAATTAGTTCATTCCAAATGAATTCCCAGTTATAGCCAAATGAGTAGCTTTAAGTCCTGACTCCCAACATTTCTATTCTATTTGCCGACATAAAAATTTTTGCCATGCAAGAGAGTGAACTTTAAAATCTGCACTATAGGCACAGTAACCTATATTTTTTGGCAAACTTCCAAATAGGCGCGAGATCATAAACCAGAGACATTCATAAACAGAATTTAATAACCACTCATTTTCTTCTGAATCTGTTTAACATCATATTATTCTAATTCACGAATTTTTCTAGTTTGCATTTTAAAATACCCTGCAAACAAAATTACTTGTGTTTGAACAATTTCCCGCCTAAAATAAAAAGAAAAGAAAAACGTCAAATTAAATCCTGGCCTTTTTGCGCAAGCAGCATTTTGAAGATTTTAAGCTTCGAACGTCGGTGATTACTGGCGTCGAATATTTTAGTCGGATGCAGACATGTCAGTTTTACTTCTTCTTTAGTAAAATCTATTTGAAACTGGATCTCATTATGTCGTCAAAGGGGTGTGATCGTGTCGCGTTTGCGAACCACGTGCTCTTTGATCTTAG